GGATTATTCAGTTACTTTTCTGATATTAACTTTTTTCTTATCGATTCTCCATACTTTTGAATATCATGAGTGCTGGCTATATAATTTATAACGTATAATAACATATAATTGCTAGTTGCACTGCAACAAAATGTTATAGTATGGTGGAAAACATAGCTGCTAATGATTATAATATTTTCATGAAACAGAAAGCTGCATTATTATTATGTAAAACAAAAAAACATATGCAATGAAAAAATTTCAGGTGGTGTTTTTACAATTTTCTACACCAACTGCATTAACTAAAAAATTTAACAATACATCCTCTTATTACCAGGACGTAAGAGTTTTATTTAATTAACAAACTTTTAATATACATTAGCAATCTTCTTGGTTATAGAGAACATAAATATCTGAGAGATATTTCTTTTATTTTAACTTTCAGGGACAGACAGGAACTGGTTTTTACCGTAAGGTTTAGTGAGTGATGTTTAATTACTACATTCTTTTCATCATAATGTAATCAAATGATAATTTATATATATAAAGCAGAGTTATCCTTTTGTCTGTTTGCCACAACTTGCTGTGGAAATCTGGCTGACCCAATTTTGATAACATTTGGTAAAGGAACTCAAGTGGGACCCCCAAAAATCTAGCTTAAATGGATGAACAATCACATAAATGGTTACAGTTTGCCAGCAATATCAATTTTACCACCTTAATGCTCAGCTGAACAAGGAGATCAGAAGCAAGTTAGTAAAAAATTGACACCCAACAAAATTAACACTGAATGCCTCTTGAAGCATGGGTTCCCATGCGTCAAATGAACAGCTCACGTGCTACAGCTCAATTTATTTTCTAAGTCTAGCGTCACTGGGCACCTTTGCTAGTTACTATATAAAGTAAGAATACATTACTGTATAATGTAGAAAAAAAAACATACAATATACAAATTATTTATATGAAATAATGACACAACCCAAATGCAAAACTAACACGTTCACTGTTCTTGGTAAAATTAATCCGATACTAGTAGCCATACTAGAGGGATCAATAGATATATTTGAATTTATATTAATTACTTGAAGTAAAAAAAAACAGAAATAAAATACTGCAGTCATAAAATTAAAAGTTTTTCATGATTAAGTACATTAAAATCATCAAATACACAATAAGAAGAAATTGTTTAACGTTTTTCAGTAATAGTATTACATTAAAGATTATGTACAAGTAAAAAGTGTACAAGACAGTGTAATAATTTCAACCTTTAAAAGAGTTCATTGCCTTCTGAAATAAGTACAAATGTTTAAGGTGTACCACTTTAACCAGTGAAGTTGATGCAGGTAAACATAAAAACAAAAAGTTAAAACACACATTTAAAGATTGCAGAAAATAAGAACGTTGAAAATTTTCTTCTACTCTAAACAATGAAAATAATGTAGAAACAAAAAGTGTTCTCAAATTATAGTTCTCAAACATACAATATTCCTGCTTGTCCATGGAACGAAGCTGGTCGTATATAGAAAAAAAGCTTTTTTTTTTTTTCCACTGACCCAATCTTCACTGTATTTTGATAAGGGTCATTGTTATGTTATTTTGGCCTTTAATAATCATCTTATACAATCTGAAATTTAGCAGATTTTTTGATAATATTTTTTATTCATAGCTTTTCTTCTGTGGATAGTCATTAAGATGAGAAGTGTTGAATAGGTAGTGGAGTTTCATTTATGGGTCTATAACCAAATCATTGCATAGTCTTGTACTTCCAAAGCTGGAATCACATATCATTAACGAATAAACTGTTCTACTCCTGCTTTAACTATAGAGTGAACATTATAAGTGAAAGGAAGCACTGAGATGAGTTCTGCACTCCAACCATTCTGTACAATTCACAGGCAACTAGAAGAGGCAAAGACTGAAAAATGTCATACTTCCACTGGAAGCATTCTATTGTTGGGGATGAGTTAAAGGCAATGGTGGCTGCTGTCCCTATTAAAAGAAAAGACAATCCAACATCTCATCAACTTACGCATGATTCTTTATGAACAGATTCATGTGGATAGTTCATTATTTAACTCTCAGATGTTTAGGTGCATTGATTTGATGCACTTGTTATATGTTATTTCTTGAAACTTCAGAAGAACTTTCTATAGACAATGAATCTTCTGCAAATAAAATACCTTATTTTCATATGTGACATTTGTACAAATTCACAGTTTTGAAAATTCAAGATATTGTTGTATATTGTCTTTTTTTTTTTTTTTTTTTAAAGAAACAATTAACAATGCTTTAATACCTTTGTTGTTAAATTTTAATTAATGATTTTTATGCCTTCCTATCTTTTTCTGAAACCTTCCTATGAAAGTTTCATGTTATAAAACTGTAAATTTTATTTTTGTTTTGACTTAAAAAACTCTGCACTCAGTGTCAATGCATTTATAATCACTGGCATTTTATAAAAATAACTTGATCACAGAATTATAAGAAAGTCTAATTTTTCAAATATTGTTAATCAGAAGGTTTAATTTAATACTTTTAAATTAGGTTTAAACCTGTTTTATGTTAATTTATGTATATATAGATATCTTTTCGGTGATTTTTTTTATACATTCAAGCAGCTATTTAAGCTTGGAAGTCCTAAAGTAAACATGGCTCACCTCATCTTGTTCTACAAAAACATTCCTATCATATTACAACATTATATGAAGGATAATATGATAAATCAAGCTTAAAGTAAAACAAATCAGTACCGTAGTTGTGGGAGAAGTTGTTTAATAGCACCTTGTCTTTTAGCTTTGTTACAATCCCTACATAAAACTTTACTGAGTTTGAAGCTATAGTTGAATAGAACAAGAAAAAACAGCTTTCATGACATATTTAGATCAGTGGCCTGTGACTTCTCGATGCTGAGATATAGGCAATTCCACCAAACTGTGATAACCAAGGTTGAGAAAGCGATTGGCTATAAGTCTACACATGTATTCAGGATAAATTAATGCTATTTTGTTTAAAACAGTTAGGACTTTTTTCTAGGGGTTACAGGTACCGTATTATGTCCACAAAAAAAAAAAAAAAAAAAATACACATTACAATAATGCTTTTGTTAGGAGCACACTAAAATCAAATCAAAATTTGTGAATTTGAAAATATTTTTTTTAATGTAGGTAAGAATAACTGCAATTTTATTTTTTATAACTTTTTCAATACAATGGTGCAACTTTGCCCTCAAGGCAGGATCTAACCCAACTGGACGTGATGGAGTTAAAAAGATTTACTTAAATGATGCTGGTACTTTCTCACCTGATAAAGTAAGATAGGTGTCCATGCATAGAATAATTCTGACACTGTCATCTGACTGACATAAATAGGTATTTTTATACATAGAATGTTGCTAATGCATTATCATCTGGTCAAGTTAAGCAAAATTATCTATGTTCAAGCTTTATCATTTAATCCATTTAACCTAACTGATTAAATCAGGTTTATTTATGTATAGCCTGCTGCTGGCGTCTATATCACCTGACTGATTAAAACTGGTTTCTTTATGTACAGTCTGATGCTGGCCTTCTGTCATCCGATTGATTAAAGCAGCATTATTTATGTACAGTCTTGTGTTGAGTTACAATCAGAGCATGCAAAGAAAAATTTTTTAAAATATTTAGTACAAAATGTGAGTATGCTTAACTTTGAAATATTTTCACACTTTTTCCTGTGATGAAATAATCCCTCCTCATCCCTGAATGTTAACATAATTTTTGCACTTTTTCCAAATGAAATGAGCCAAAACAAAAAGAAAATATCGAATAATGGGCATGCCCTATAAGAAAGATTAATTAAATACTTCACATTTAAGTTATGCACATGACTGGTACTTTATACTACTTACTGGTATGGGAGTAGACATCTGATGATGAGACAAGGAATCTAATCCCGTAGATGGGTGGTGAAGCCCATGCATTGTTAATGTTGGGCCTTCACTGTTCTTTTCTTCTTCTCTTCTTTTCAGACAGGCTGCTTTTGGGTTAAGATTTCTCTCTAAAAAATAAAAACTTTTTACATTCATGTTCAGTCCAGTTCTATTATCAGTCCGTTATCACACTGATTCCAGTTCTATTATCAGTCTGTTATCATGTTGATTCCAGTTCTATTATCAGTCCGTTATCACATTGATTCTAGTTCTATTATCAGTCCGTTATCACATTGATTCCAGTTCTATTATCAGTCCGTTATCATGTTGATTCCAGTTCTATTATCAGTCCGTTATCATGTTGATTCCAGTTCTATTATCAGTCCGTTATCAAGTTGATTCCAATTTTATTATCAGTCCGTTATCACGTTGATTCCAGTTCTATTATCAGTCCGTTATCAAGTTGATTCCAATTTTATTATCAGCCTACGGTTACTGGTTAAAATCTTCTAGTGAATTTAATCGAATACCGATTTGTAACATTTTATTATACTTAACTTTCTGTTCTAAGAAAACTAAATATTGCAATAACTCACCGAACCTCCTTTTTGTCCAGTTAGTTACCAAACTTAACTTATTGTTCTTAAGTTTGTAAAATCTTCTTTAGTTATCTTGTAAAACTATGTGGTCAAGTTTTGAACTCAACAGCTTGTATGTAATCTCAAGAGAACTGCTGAACCTTGCTGATTCCGTCTACACTTTAGGTAAGCTACCAGTACATTTTCAAGTGCCTCTGATGTTACTCTCTCCCTGCTCTACCTTACACTTTAGGTAAGCTACCAGTACATTTTCAAGTGCCTCTGATGTTACTCTCTCCCTGCTCTACCTAAAGTTTATTTCTATGTTACACTCTGTTTTAGCATGTCTGGCTACACTGTATATGTTCCAAATTATCAAAGGACAGTTTTTTTAATACTTATGGAGAAACCCATAATGGTAGGTAGGTAGGCCTTAGATATTCTCTGTGGTGAAACATACATGTGTTAACAATTAATGGACACTACATCTTGAAACAAATTCTTTAAATTTACACAAGGGCTTATTTCTTGTTACTATTTCAAAATGAAGTAACTGAAATTGTGATTTTTGAATTTCGCACAAAGCTTCATGAGGGCTATCTGTCCATAATTTAGTAGTGACAGACTAGAGGGAAGGTAGCTAGTCAACATCACCCACTGCCAACTCTTAGGCTACTCTTTAACAAACGAATAGTGGGAATGGTCATCACATTATGATGCTCCCATGGCTGAAAGGGCGAGCATATTCAGTGGTGGAGATTTGAACCCATAACCCTCAGATTGGGAGTTGAGCTCCTTATCCATCAGGCCCTCTAAAATTGTGGACTTATGTACCTAAAAATTTAATTTTAAACTGAACAACATGTGTAAAGTAACACATCCAATAGTATCTTTTTTTTCAGAATTTTAAATTTCATTTGATGTAAGGGAGCGTCAAAAATTACTCTGAATTTCTCTATGTAAAAACTCTTAACTACTGGAAATTCCCTGTTTAATTAAATAAATGATTTCCTGTATGAAAATATAAAATTTTATATACAAGTCAAATTCAAAGTTTGTACAACCCTAAGAAGGTACAAACTAAAGTATCATAAAGTAGAAGCTTAGGTTCAAATTCTTACTATATGTTTGCTGTTTAAATAAAGTAATATAATTTTTGTGAATTAAAAATGACAAAGTGTGAACAACATAACTTCGGTTTAAGAGTATCTGGGCTTTCAATCAGCCATTGTTCTTCATGAAAGCACAAAAAACTTTACGGTATTTATTACTTCGAATGCAGGGATTGATTTAACTGAGTTTGTTTTCTAAAGATTATTAGGATTTACCAATAAGGAATTGCATTAGATTCTAATAAGGGCATTTAGGATTAAAATGATCAGATTAGCATGGGATTGAAATTAGTACCAAGAATAGCTGATTTCTTATCATATATGTATATATATTTTAGTAGCTACCCGAGAGCTATCTGTGCTAACCATCCCTAATTTTGAAGTGATAGGCAGCTAGTCAATGCCAACTATTGACCTACTCTTTTACCAATGAATAGTGGGATTGAATGTAACATTATAACAACCCCATGACACCACGACCTGCAGGTTGCAAGTCCAGTGCTCTAACAACCAGGCCATGCTGGGTCTTTCAGTAGCATTGTACCAGAAATTTTTCATCTTCATTCAGTATAACATTTAATTAACTTCTAATTAAGAAATTCAGCTGCCAATATTTATGAGTTATTACATACAGAAAATAAATGATTATCTATAACAAAATTAGTTCACAAGTTACACTGTTGATATGTAAAGGTTGATAATGCTACAGTCCCTTAAGGAATCCTGTTTTTTGGTTTGAAATGTTTGTTTCTATTGTTTCACCTTACCTAGTGAAAAAGTAAATAAATTCAACTAGTGTACCCACAGGTACAGGTGTGAACAGGTTTTTCAAAAGAAATCAAATCCAAGCATTTGTTAAAGTTATTCTTTCTTCCACACAGAATGTGTGATAGTTTTAAACTTTGCAGAGCAGACTGGATGATTGAAACCATGTTTATGACAAAAAAATGACTAATCACACTCCAGAAAACAAAACAAAACAGGCCTGTAACACAGAATGTGTGATAGTTTTAAACTTTGCAGAGCAGATTGGACAATTGAAACCATGTTTACGACAAAAAAAAAAAAAAATAGACTAATCACACTCCAGAAAAAAAAAAAAAAACACACACAAAAGAAATAAGAAAAATGATTTTCAACAATAACAAAAAAAAATGTCTTTCTTCAAATAATGGACTGTATGACTCTTGTACTGATAAGTATATTGGTGAAACCGGTTGTTCAGTACATGAATGTTTTAAGGAACACATCCATGCCACTGGATTTTAAAGAATGAAACAGAGTACAGAAGTTAAAAAAAAATTAATATTAAGTTCTTAGTAAAATGTAATAGTTTCTTTGACTGTAAATTCAAAGAGTCTCTCCTGATTCAATCTTATAAACATAACACAAACAGAAATAATTCTAGGCCATTGTAATTATTATGGTTTTTTTGTTCGATTGCTTGCTCATTCTAATTCTTTTTAATGTGTGTGCAAGAACATGTGACATTACTATTCTTAAGTCAGTTTTTAATTAATGTTTCTTTTTTTTTGGTTATCAGTTTGTATTTGTATGTGACACAGTAACCTTAAGGAAGGCCTAAGCTGTAACATCAGTTTTGAATAAAATTTTATCTGGAGTATGATTAGCTATTTTTTTTTGTAAACGTAATATGTTATGTTTGGGGTTTCTCTACGCATATAAAAACAATGTAACATTGTGATCTGAGAATATATCTAGTCTTGTTAATCAAGCTGTAACATAGATACAAGTTCCAGCTATTTCAAACCCACAGCTAAACCGCAGAATGAAAGGCAGCTAAGGATATCCGAAAGATTACTGGCAACTAATCAAGAGAATGCACTGCTGCTGTTATTACATAGTTTTATGAGAAGTGTCTACAGACTATGACAGAAAAACTGTACATGAAATTCGAAAGAACAAATATACTGTTTATAATATGACTTATAAAAAAACAATAAATATATATATAAATTGGAAAATCAATTGAGAAATGTCATGTTTAGCAAGTGTTCATTTAAACTAGAAGCTTTAGACAAAAAGTATCATATAGATGACTTCAATATAGGAAAAATCTTATTATTGCCCACTCCATCTTCAAAATATCATCCAGTCTAACTTTTTATTCTTGTCAAGTGCATCAGTCTATTTTCTAGCCTTTAACCTTAAGATCTCATTCAGTCTCAAAAACTCTAAAACCCATAACTTATTTAATTCTAAAACTAATCTCCGCTTTAGTCAAAAATGTTCTGTTTAGTTTTTAAAAAAGTAACATTCTGTGTTCTTTTAGCCTAATTTGGGGCCATTTTGTTTATAATCACTAAAGTATAACTTACAGCATTTGTCAAGATGTCTAATAAGTGCTAGTTTAGCTTATAAGTGCATAACAAAATCCTAAAAAGTTTAGGTGATGGTCATAATAAACACACCTCTAACTTGTTGCTCTAAGCTTGTGATAACATCAACAGCTTGGTGAAGAATCCCTAGCTTAGTTTGTGATTTGTCTGTTTTCAAGTGCATTATACACATTCTCCCCAGCTCTTTAAATGCTTCATTGATGTCTCGGACCCGAATTCTAAAAATGGAAAATAACGAGGTTAATTAAAAATATTAATAATACATGTTAATGTTACCATAACAATAAGAAAAAAATTTAAAATCTTAATAATACGTTTTAATGTTACCATAACAATAAGAAAAAAGATTAAAAATCTTAATAATACATGTTAATGTTACCATAACGATAAGAAGAAAGATTAAAAATCTTAATAATACATGTTGATGGTACCATAATGATAAGAAGAAAGATTAAAAATCTTAATAATATATGTTAATGTTACCATAATAATAATAAGAAAGATTAAAAATCTTAGTAATACATGTTTAATGTTACCATAACCAAAAGAAGAAAGATTAAAAATCTTTGAGTTTTCACTCTCTCTCTCCTGACTTAAAAGTTTGAAGTACGAAGATGATAACGATGTACGATATTTATTGTACGAATAATCTCAATCACTAAATATATAAAAGATTGAAGATGACAATGATGTACAATATTTATTGTACGATAAATCTCAATCACTAAATATATAAAAGATTGAAGATGACAATGATGTACAATATTTATTGTATGATAAATCTCAATCACTAAATATATAAAAAGTATGAAGATGATAATGAGGTACGATATTTATTGTACGATAAATCTCAATCACTAAATATATAAAAGGTATGAAGATGATAACGATGTACGATATTTATTGTACGATAAATCTCAATCACTAAATATATAAAAAGTATGAAGATGATAACGATGTACGATATTTATTGTACGATAAATCTCAATCACTAAATATATAAAAAGTATGAAGATGATAACGATGTACGATATTTATTGTACGATAAATCTCAATCACTAAATATATAAAAAGTACGAATATGATAACAATGTACGATAAATCTCAATCACTAAATATATAAAAAGTATGAAGATGATAACGATGTACGATATTTATTGTACGATAAATCTCAATCACTAAATATATAAAAAGTACGAAGATGATAACGATGTACGATATTTATTGTACTATAAATCTCAATCACTAAATATATAATCTTTCACTTTAAGAAAATGAAAGATACCCAGCTTAAAAGTCCTCAATAACAAGAACCAGGCAATTTTTATTGGTCAGCAAAAATTGTATGTTAGCTCTACCATTCAAAAAAAAATCTTATTTCATTAAATAAAATTTTGGTGTATAGTTTAGAGAGAGATTTTTCAATAGCTAGATCAACAAAAAATTTTACCTTTTGAAAGTCTAAGTTAAACATATTAATTTTATTCAGGCAGCTCCACTTCGAAAGAGGAAGTAACAGAAAAGGTGTAGTCATTTTTAATTTAAAAAATTTTTTTATTGTATAATGTATTGTTTTGCCTATATTTTTAAATAAAAGTTTATTGCACAATGTTGCCCTATTTATACTTTAGAAACCTTTCATCTCTGGTTCCAGATATAAGAAAAATAACAAGCCATTCAGTGTTCTCTATCAGTTAATTTTTCATTTAGACACCATGAAGTTTCAAAACTTAAAGAAAGGAAAACTACAAAGAGAATATTCATAAAATGTTTTTATTTCATAGCTGGGATAGACCCTAAGAACCTATGATAGGTAGAAAACTTATGTATTAATCCAGCCACAAAATTCTTTAATGAATTGTTTATTTTTATCATACTAATATATTTACTTTAGTTACATGATACTTAAATAAAATATTTCAGATTAAAAAAGAAAGCTATTCATTCCCATGATTATATCTCATAACGTAACCATTTAAAACATTCCTCTACATACTTGTAATATAAATACAATTACAGAGACCATCTGTTCGTTTGCCACTCACGGCTGACTGGTGACAAGCAATTTAAGTCAACCAGATCAACAGCATTATATGAGGCAGTACTTGTTGCAATATTCATTGTAATATAAATAAGATTATAGAGACCATCTGTTCGTTTGCCACTCACGGCTGACTGGTGACAAGCAATTTAAGTCAACCAGATCAACAGCATTATATGAGGCAGTACTTGTTGCAATATTCAAATAATTATCTTGCGGTCATTAATTTACCTTTCCCTGGCATTATTAGCATGTCTTCTTTCTTTGTCCTTCTCAGCTTTAAGTTCTGGAACATCATCTTCATCTGCAGACCTATAGTGATATATAGACAATAAAACATTAAAGTATTAGGCTTAGGATGAAATGAAGATCAAACAATATTAAGGGAAAAATGATACAAGCTGAGTCAATGATGTAATCAGTTTTAGAACAATTAAATTCATATTTTAAATGACACAACTCAATTATTATAAAACACACTAAATCTTAACTATTATGATTGTAAAATATTTCTTTTAGTGACTTAAGGTTCTTATTTATATCTTCACACACATATTTAATATAAAATGATGAACATAACTTAGTGTGGAGCAAGAAACTAACTGATAATTTTTAAAAGTTTAAATTAATCCAAACCATATACATGCCAAGCATTTTACAATTCTCGGGTCATTCAATCCAATTTTAAGCTTCCCAAATATTATTTTTATATTGATACCCGAAAACATGCTATTCAAAAGTATTTTGGCAAACACGTCTTTATTCCAGTTAATAGTTCATTTAATAATAAATTCAGGTTTGTTAAGTAGCTTGATCCTAATGATTTGTCTATGCAAAAATAAAAAATTTACCTTTCATTTGATCTGACAAAATAAAAAAAAGTGTAACTTATAAATAACTTTCAGTGAAGGAAAATATTGTTTTATAGTCCAATCCTTTACCAACTGGTTAACCAAAGTTACCTCCTGAAACTTGTTCTTTAAAGGAAGAGCATATAATAATAATAATAATAAAAACACACTATATTGAATGTTTTAAATATGAGTTCACACTTTATAGCATTTTATATCAATACAATTCAAAGAATGTGTACATTAGTTTCATTTAGAGTTTGAGCTAGTAATTTAAAAAAATTAAAACATGGGTATTCTTACTTTATCTTAGCACGATCACATACACTGTGAATAACAAGGAATATGTTTTGCTAACAATAATACTTTTTTTTTTTCCAATCTACATGATAAAATATTAAGAATATATTAAAAAGAAATATGACGTGAGCCTTATTAAATTCAAAATATTCATAAACATTACAAAATGAATTACACTGAACGAGATCGCTTGGTTCCTTTGCTATGAGTAGTGGAGGTGGCAGTTGTAACTGTCGCAGTAGATGTACTTGAGTCAGAAGACAGAGCTGGAGAAACAGATGTGATACTAGTATTTGGAGTTGCTGACTTACTGCGAACTCGAAAACTTCTGTCAACTTTACCTTTATCTATCTTAGCAGCTGGACCAAGATCTGATGTAGATAGCAACCCTAGAATTAAAAGAATTGTGACCTAAAAACAACTTAAAAAAAAAAACAACTTTTGGTATTGACTTTTTAACTTATATCTGGTGCTGGAAAAAATTTGAAACTTTGGAACTAATGCTGGAAAATTTATGTTCTACATAATTACAACAACCCATATTCATAAGTTAATTTTGAAGTTTAAACTACAGCCCACATTTTGCTTATCACATGTACAAGGGTGGCTTGGTTGATGTGCTTGATACAAATGTACAAGGATGACCAGGTTCAAATGCTTGGAATACACATATAAGAATGGTTAGTTTCACACGCTGAATATACCAATACAAAACAGACTAGGTTCACACACAGTATACGTGCTTAAGGAGGGTCTAGGTTATTCACCTTCTCAATATACATATACACTGATGGCTAGACACAATGCCTGTCAAGTTTTTTTTAATTACACCACTTTTGTTGATATTCAAATTCGATGATGAGGAACCCACTTTGAGACGAATAATGCTTGGAGATGGCTTGAATGGGTAATGAAGAAAAACTTTAATATAAGTTTAACATCGCAGTACAGGA